TGCTCATCCGCCTACCCTCCCCCCTTGCGCCTCCCCCCGCGGTCCAGACCTCTCGGCTGCGGCCCCACGCGTGCGGGGGCGGTTCTGCGCGGACGCCCCCCGCGGAGCGCAGTCACGGGATCGCGCATCCAGGCAGTCGCGCCCGGGTGCCCCTGCTTTGGCCGCGAGTGCGTGGACGTATGGACATCTGCTCGTCGCTCGTGATCGGCGGCGCGCGAGGGGGTTGCCTCGGGAGGGGAAGGCCTTCTCGGGCGGCGGCCGGGCTTCTCAGAAGGCCTCCGGCCTTGGTGAGAGGTCTCCCGTGCCTCCGGGGGAGGCCCAGACATTTTTTCAGAAGGCCAGGGGACTGATGAACACATTTCTCAAAAGCCCCTGGACAAATCAATGAGCTCTGCCTCTCCGGCCCAGCCAGAAGCCGCGGGACCTCCGAGCCTTCTGAGCCTCACTTCCCCCCGGGGCTCGCCGCCGAGAGCAGGGGGCGGCGGCGCCCCTGCCTCGGCGTGCCCCACCCCGCCCACGCGTGACACCGGCATCCAGGGCCGCCGCCGGCCCCGCGGGCAAGGGCCGCTGCAGGCAGGAGTAACCGGGACGGTTAGAGCCGCGCTTTCCTGGCGGATGTGCGTTCGACTCCAGTTCGGCTCCAGCTCGGTTCGGCTGGACTGTGGCTCGACCCAAGTTCGACTCCATTCCGACACAAGGTAGTCAGGAGGGGAAAACACACACAGACACAATTAATCGTCGATTCCCCAGGAAGATATAGGAAAATATGGGAAGTGGGGGGGAAGACAAAAACCCAGAAGATATGGGAAATTATACGGGAATCCTGTTATTTGCGTGTATTTATTTGTGTGTCCCAGGGCCCCTTCGTAAAGCCGCGCTTTCTGGCGGATGTGTGTTCGACTCCAGTTCGGCTCCAGCTCGGTTCGGCTGGACTGTGGCTCGACCCAAGTTCGACTCCATTCCGACACACGGCAGATCGGGCGAAGGGATCTATGCACATGCACCGATCCTGGCAGCGTCCATCCTCGACCCAGGATCGGTGCATATACCCTCTTGGCCAAGGTAAGAGGGCGTGTGCACCGATCCTGGGCTCAGGATGGGCCTGGCCAGAATCGGTGTATGTGCATACAGTGCCGTTTCTAATACATGCTCCGCGTGCGGATCATGTCGTAAAAATGCAGGGATCGAGTATCAAAAGCAACGATGAGTTTATGCATACATGTATTCAAAGGTTAACCATGTATGAAGAATCCGATATTTTTTAAACATCCTATTTTTTAAACACTGCCCTGTAGTTCTCTTTCCTCTGGTAGACTCAAGTCGACGGGGCGTTCCGACGCGGTGTCGATGCAGGAGCGGGGCGGAGTGGCTCCGGGGAGGTCGCCAGGCCGTGGGCGCGTGCGTGGGCCTCGCCTCTGCCGCCAAGGCCGTGAGTAAGTCGGGCCTGTCCCGCTGCAGGGGGAGTACTCAAAGATAGCAGAAGATAGTCAGGGGACCATCTTTTTAACATTTTTCATTTGGAGTATTTTTTGAGTTATTATTGTTTCGTCCCGAATCCCCCGGTAGGGGGACAGGCCCGACTTAAGGCTATTACCTTTCTTCGTGCCTGCCGCAGGCTCGATGCGGCTTCGGCGCGTCTTGAGGCGCGGATTCGGCGCGGATTGTTCGGGAGCGAAAGAAGGACGTACACGCCGGTCGTTGAAAGTAGGTATTTTTGGATTCCCAGATTCCAATCTTTTTCAAGCACCTTCTTACTTCAAGAGTCGACGTGCTTTTGCTGTGTTTGGTTGTTCTCTGGGAGGGCCTGGACCCAATCCACTATATCCGCCTTCCTATTTCATGTTCTTACCTGCTCCTTCCGACCAGCGTGCACATGTACACGAACCCACGCTGGTTTCGAGAGTACGCAATGCCCGAATGTTCGTATCACGCGGCCAGTCTCGCGGATCGAGGCGCCGTGTTCATGTACATTCAGGAGGGAAAAAACACAGACACAATTAATCTTCGATTCCCAGGAAAATATGGGAAAATATGGGAAGTGGGGGGGAAGACAGAAACCCAGAAAATATAGGGAAACATGGGGGTTCCTTTTATTTGTGTGTATTTATTTGTGTGTCCCAGGGCCCCTTCATACATGGCTGGGCCCGTTCGTCCTTTGTGGGCTCTCTAGTTCTGCTGCGGATTGCACGAGTTCGGCACGGTTTTCTTTGACGCGGGGCCGACGCGGAATGGCGGCGCAGGATTCGCGCCGCCGGCGGTCGCCTTCCCGCCCTTCTCACGGAGTCCACGGCGCAAGGAGCCGTCGTAGGAGGCCTGGAAATGGGCGCCAACACCAACACAGGGGGTTGCCTCCACAGGGGGAAGATGATCCTAGATTGACGAACCAACAACGCACACCCATACCCATAGGGGGTCGGAAAGGGCTATGGGTGCGTGTTGTCGGATGTGGGTCCCCGCTCGAACGGGAGCGTTCCCCGGGGTCCGACGACACGCACCCATACCCATAGCCAGTCCTCCTCCCAACGACCCCCCTATGGGTATGGGTGTGTGTTGTTCGTTCGTCATAGATTTCGGTGTTGGTGGTAATATTTCGGCCACCTTCGAAGCCAGGGCATTACCACCATTACCGAGATCGGGATCTTCTTCCTTCGGTGGAGGCACACGGCCGATATGGGTGTTGGTGTCAACCTTTAGGCCTGCGACGCCGCCTTCGGCGCTCCTGCGTGACCCCATTGAGCTTGGGCCCGTCTCTTCCTGCGTGGCAGCGGCATGTGAGCCTGCCCGCGTCGCGTGCCGATCGGGGGGGCAATCTTGTGAATGTTCCAGCCTATACTTTAAGCCTGAAGCACCAGAAAGGGAGTTTCGAGCACCGAGAACGTGCCGAAGCCCGAGGGCTTTCACGTGTCGGGCCCTGGGAGGCACTCGTTCGACAGACACTGTTTTCGACACTCTTTCGACACTTCTCTGGGGGCTCGAAGTCATTTCTGGTATGTGGTCCTGAAGTGCGATGGGAGCAAAATGGGGGGCGGCAGTCCCGCACGGGGCCCTTGCCGCCGCGGCCGGGTGTGGCTCTGGCAGTTCTCAGGGCCCTGCGGCGCACTGCGAGCGCTGTCCGGCCAGTATTTGTGTTGCTTGTCTTGAACGCCAGAAAGGGAGGGGGTCTGGACCCTCCAAGACAAGCCATTTCAGACCTCCCCCGTGGGAGAACCCTCCAAAAAACATCGTCCCCAGACCCCCCCAGTCCCTCCAAGATAGCCTGGGAGGGACCTCCCCCGAAATGAGACCCCCCTCCCTTTATCACGAAATCTGGGGTGTGCAAGAGAGCTGGTCGTAGGAGTCTCCCGTCGGGTTCAGGCGACAGGTGCGTGCGGCAGGCTCGCGCCGTGCCGACGACCGGCGGCGGCCCCAGCGCGGGCGCCTCGGGTTGCACGCCGCCCGGGGCCCGGAGTCGGCCCATCCTTGAACGTTCTGGCCTTTTTTGAAAGGTCCTACATCCCAGACTCCGTAATCTACTTGGTCGTCCCCCTCACGCACCCCACTCCCCTGTATGCACCGTCCTACGCCACCTCCTGACCCCCTATTCCCTCACCCCCCCCCTTTTCATTCTCCCCTCGCCATGTCCTTCTCCTCCCTCATCCTCCTCCTCCTCCTCCTCATCCTTCTCCTCCTACCCCCCCCTCCTCCTCCTCCTCCTCCTCCTCCTCCTCCTCCTCCTCCTCCTCCTCCTCCTCCTTGGGTGGACAGAACCCCCAACAGTGACACGTCGAGTAGTGAATTGTCCGTCTTCGGTTCTCGAGAGGGCGCCGCGGCCGCTATTTTCCAGGCCTGCGCCCGCCAGGTTTGGGCCTCAGGTCGGTTTGGGCCTCAGGTCGTTTTCACTAAACCACGTTTTACTAAAGGGGGGTCTGTCCATCCCCGAAAAGGGCCGATCGTTCAAATTTTGAACGATCCCCGCGGTGTCAGGAACCAACGCCGGGGTCGAGGCGCCGTCGGGCGGAGGCGCCGTCGGGCGTCGTCGCCAGAAAGAAATTCTTAGCGCTTCGCTTGCTCCCACCAGCGCATCCAGAGGCGATGCCCAGGCGAGTTGCCCGGATCGGGGAAGTGGAGGAGCATGCGGTGGAACGAAGGGCTGGGCAAGACGTCATACCCAAGGGGGGAGGATAGAGGAGACATCGGAGAAGGAGCAGGAGGAGAAGGAGGAGGAGGAGGAGGAGGAGTCGGAAGAGGGGGAGGGGGAGGAGTAGGCGGATGAGCAGGAGGAGGAGGACGAGGAGGAGGAGGAGGAGGAGGAGGAGGAGGAGGAGGAGGAGGAGGAGGAGGAGGAGGAGGAGGGTGAGGAGGAGGGCCGAGCAGAACGGCCACTCTTGGATGCCTCTCGGAGTCTCTTCGGATGTCTCGCGAGAGTTTCTTGGAGTCATCTTGGGGCGTCTTGAGGGCTTTCGGCGGCCCCAGGGGCATCTTGGTGGGTCGTGGGTGCGTCTGGGGAGCTTCTTGGGGTATGTTGGGGATTTCTCGCGAACCTCTTGGGGGCCTCTTGGGGCCTCTTGGGCGCCTCTTGGGGCACTCTTGGGAGCCTTGGGTGCCATCTTGGAGGAGCTCGATCACAGAAAGGGGAGGGTGCTCAATTAGGGCCCCTCCCCAGCAGGAGGCCCAAATGTGGCCGATGCCTTGAAACAATTCTTGACGCTTCGCGTATCCCCACCTGCGCCCGTAGCTAATATTCTGGCTGGGCGCCTCTGTCGTCCCGGTTTGCATGCTGCACGTGGTGGGTTGGCGCCCTCTCGGCTGCCTTTCTTCTCCGCCGCTTGAATTTGTCTGTGCAGGGCACGTGTTCGCCTGCTGGTCTGGTCGGCTGTTGTTAGGACAGTCGGTCAATATTCTGGCTCGGTCCCTCTGTCGCCTGTACTGCATGTTGCACGTGCGTGGGTTGGCGCCTTTGGCGGCTTCCTCCTTGTGGCCTGGCCCTCACTCGTTATCTGGCATTGCGCCCCTGTGCCTGTGTTGAACACGCCCTCTGGACTTTTCCTTGCGGGCCGCCGAACAAAAAAATCCCCACCAGCGTCCGTAGCCTGGCTCAAGCCTTGGGTCAAGCCATTTTGACTTAGGGAATTTACAACGTGGCTCAAGCCGCGGTGCCGTGTTTCCTCGGATGCTGGGCATCGGCCGAGGGTCTCGAGAAGGCGTTATTTCCCTCGACGCGTCGATCAAGAACTGCGGTCGGACAAAACAGTGGAGCGTAGCACTGCGGTTGCTCCGCGAAGGACTTCGATTAGGTGTGCAACTTTTCCCAGGCCACTACATGGCGACTGCCAGCGCATGCAGAAATGGCGGGCAATGGCAACACGCGCTTTCAGTGCTCAGTGACATGTGGAAGGCGAAGTTGGAACCCGACGTCATCAGCTACAACGCTGGGATCAGCGCGTGCGAGAAGGGCGAGCAGTGGCAGGCGGCGCTTGCGCTGCTGAGCGAGATGCGGGAGGCGAAACTGGAGCCCGACGTCATCTCTACTACATTGCAGGGCCCAGTGCGTGCCAGAAGGGCGCAGGCCCCAATGCACCGAAACCGCCCCGGGCTGGCCCCGGGCCGCCCCGGGCCGCCCAGGCAGGCCCCAGGACATGTCCAGAGGGCCCCAGAAGCCCCCAAGACGGCCCCAGAGAGCCCCGGCACGCTTAAAAGATGGGCCCAAGACGCCCGAGATTCGCCCCAGGCGGCTCAAGAGGCGTCCAAGACGCCCGAAGAGGCCTCCCAAGAGGCCTCCCAAGAGGGCCCCGAGCGACAGAAATCGTCGATTTCTGTTGTGTTTTTCGATGTTTTCGGCCTCCTCGCCTCGTCGGCTTCCCGACGGTCCAAGACGGCCCAAGAAGCCCCCCTGACCGCTCCAAGACGGCCGAAGAGGACCCCAAGAGAGCCCCAAGACGGGCCAGGAGGGCCCCCAGACGGTCCCAAGACGCCCCAGGACGGCCCCAGGACGGCCCAGGAGGCGCCCAAGACGGCCCAAGAGGCACCCAAGACGACCCCAGGAGCGGCCCAAGACGGCCCACGACAGCCCAAGAGGCAGCCGAGGCGGGTCTCAGACGGCCCCAAGACGGCCCAAGAGGCACCCAAGACGGCCCGAGAGGGCCCTAAGAGCCCCCCCGGGAGGCCCAAACGAAGGCCGAAGAGGCTCCGAAACGGCCCCCACGAAGCCTTCAGTGCCGTCAGAATTCCCTCCAGGAGCGGGGGAGCGGACGAGAGGCGACAGGCATATCGCAGGCAAAAACGCCCCAAGAGATCCCCAAACGGCCCCCACGAAGCCCTAAGTGGCCTCAGAATTGCTTCCAGGAGGGGGGGATCGGACGAGAGGCGACCGGCATATCGAAGGCACAAAAGAACAATGTTGGACGCTCCGAGGGCCTTCGATGTTTCTCCGTTGGGGAGAGTCGTCGTAGGATCGACGATTGCCGACCGAGGGCAGCGAATCCAGTGGAGGCCCAAGAGGCCCCCAGGAGCCCAAAAGAGATCCCCAAGAGGTGCCACGGGGCTTAAAAACTGCTTCGAAGCGAGGGGGGCGGACGAGGGGACCGCCTGCCTCAAAATCGTCCGCTTTACGACGGTTTTGGAAGGGTTTTGGCCTTCTCGCCTTTTCCGCTTTCCCACGCTCGAAGACGGCCCAAGAGGCCTCCAAGAGCGCCCCAGAACGGCCCAAGAGGTTTCCAAGAGCGCCCCAAGACAGCCCAAGAGGGCCCCAAGACGACCCAAGAGACGCTCAAGACGGCCCACGAGGGGCCGAAGACAGGCCCAAGAGGGGGCCAAGAGGGGGACCACGGACCGAAAATCCGAGCCTTCCGCCCCAAGAGGGCGCCAGGAGGCCCAAACAGGCCCCCAAGAGGCCCCAAGGGGCCGCCAAGAATCCCCCGAAGAGGCCCCAGGAGGCTCCCAAGGAGCCCAAACGAGGCCCCTACAGAGGCCCCAACAGCTTCCAAAATGGCCCCGAAGAGGCCTCGAACCCACCTCCGAGCTTTCTCGCCGCGAGGGTGCCAACACGGCCCCAAACCGGCCCAGGACGGCCCAAGGCGCGCTCAAGACGGCCCAAGACGATTCCAAGACGGTCCCAGGAGGGTGCGCCCAGGACGGCCCAAGGACGCGCCCGTTCGGGGCCTCAAGACGGGCCAAGATGGCAAAGAGTCCCAGCTGGCAAAAATCGTTAATTTTCCATTGTTTATTGTTACACCCTTTGCGTTTCCCGCCGTTTCGGCGGTCCGATGCACCAAGAGGCCCCAGAAAGTCCCAGGAGGGTCCGAGGAACCGCCCAGGAAGGCCCCAAGACGGGCCAAGACGGACCCAGCACAACCCAAGGCGCGCTGCGACGGCTCAAGACGGCTCCAAGACAGCCCCAAGAGGGTGCCACACGGCCCCTGTTGGGCCCAGGACGGCCCAAGGAGGCGCACAGGAGGGGCCCAAGACGACTCCAAGGCGGCCTCCTCACGGTCCCAGACGGCTCCAAGACAGCCCCACGAGGACCCCGATGGGCCCAGGACGGCCTACGGACGCGCCCATGAGGGGCCCACGACGAACCAAGACGGCCCCATCACGGCAAACGGCGCCCTCAAGACGGGCCTAGACGGCTCCAAGACGGCCCTTTGAGGGAGCCAACGCGGCCCCACACCCTTCGGGTGCACACTTGGGGGGGCTGGGAGCTTGCGACAAGTCTCCCACATTCATTGTCCTGCCCCATTCTGTTCGCCTGGAGGCCTCCTCCAACCCTGTGGGCGAACAAGAGGAAACCCAGCGGGCCGCCAACCCTGGGGCCCGTGGGCACCGCGCCGCTTGGGCAGAAGACGAACGCCGGGTCTGACAGGCCAGCTACCGCCCCCCTTTGCCCGATATGCTGTGCCATTCTGTTCCCCCAGGGGCCTTGGCAAACTCTTCGGGCCAAGCAGACCGGACCCCTGGGACAGCAGCCACTTGATATGACCCTGGGACCTCTCCGCATTCTTCGGACGAGCATCTGGGGGGCCCAGGAGATTCGGACATGTCTTCCCCATTCCTTGCCCTGTTCCGTTCTGTTCGCCCGAAGGCCTCCACAGACCCTCTGGGCGAACAGAATGGGACATGGCGAACAAACCCTCCCGTTGGCGGTGATGCGACTGGATCGCACCATCAAGGCGCGCCCGGAGGTGATGGCCGACCCAACAGCGGTTTCTCTTAAGAGTTCACTGGATTTCAAATTTTCTTGAAGCTCTCTTGGGCCCTCCCTGTAGATCCTTGCGAGCCCCTCCGGTGCTTTCGGTGGCTTTCCCCGATGGCCTCCCGAGCCCTTCCCCGAGCGCTCCTGAGACGCCTCAGATGGGCTTCGACTTCGACGCACATCCCCGAGAGACTTCGAAACTGTCCTCAATAGGAGGGGGGTGAACGAGCAGTGCGCTGGGCCAAGCTGCTGCAGCGCTGCAAGAGCTCGGACACGAAGGCGCGGTTTCGCTGCCGCCGCCCGAGCCGCCGCCGTGTTTGTAGATTTTCGGTACAATCTGCGCCGTTCCTCCGAGAACCATTCCAGAAAGATGTCGTGGACGGAGTCCACGGGTCAGCCCTAGTCAGCTACAACGCTGGGATCAGCGCGTGCGAGAAGGGCGAGCAGTGGCAGCGGGCGCTTGCGCTGCTGAGCGAGATGTGGGAGGCGAAGCTGGAGCCCGACGTCATCAGCTACAGCGCTGGGATCAGCGCGTGCGAGAAGGGCGAGCAGTGGCAGGCGGCGCTTGCGCTGCTGAGCGAGATGCGGGAGGCGAAGCTGGAGCCCAACGTCTTCAGCTACAACGCTGGGATCAGCGCGTGCGAGAAGGGCGAGCAATGGCAGCGGGCACTTGCGCTGCTGAGCGAGATGTGGGAGGCGAAGCTGGAGCCCGACGTCATCAGCTACAGCGCTGGGATCAGCGCGTGCGAGAAGGGCGAGCAGTGGCAGGCGGCGCTTGCGCTGCTGAGCGAGATGCGGGAGGCGAAGCTGGAGCCCAACGTCTTCAGCTACAGCGCTGGGATCAGCGCGTGCGAGAAGGGCGAGCAGTGGCAGCGGGCACTTGCGCTGCTGAGCGAGATGTGGGAGGCGAAGCTGGAGCCCGACATCATCTATACTATATGGCCGGAGGAATCGCGTGCCGGAAGGAAAAAGCGCCAAATGCCCGGAAACGGATCCGAGACGCTCCGGAGGCCGCCCCGACGGCCCAAAGAAGGCTCCGAGCCGCTCCAAGACGGCTCCGACGCGCTCAAGATGCCCCGAAGGCGGCCCAAGAGGGCCCCGAGACGCGCAATGATCCGGCCAAGACGCCCGAGATTGGCCCAAGACGGCCCACGAGCCCCCCAAGACGGCCCAACAGGCCTCCCAAGAGGCCTCCCAAGAGAGCCCCGAGAGGCCAAAAACGTTGATTTTCATTGGTTTTTGTTCACAGGTTTTTTGCTTCCTCGCTTTTTCGGCTTCCCGACGCTCCGAACCCCCCCCAGAGGCATCCAAGACCGCTCCAAGACGGTCCCAGAGGGCCCCACGACGGTCCAAGGCGGCCCCAGGACGGCCCCAGAGGCGCCCAAGACAGGCCAACGGGATCCCAAGATGGCCCGAAGAGCGGCCCAAGATGGCTCCAAGACGGCCCGAGGACCGCCCAAGAAGGCCTTAGGGGGCCCCAAGACAGCCCAAGGGGCGCGATAAACGAGCCCAGAGAGGCCCAAGAGGCCCCCAGGAACCCAAAAGAGGTCCCCAAACGGCCCCAGAGCTCTCCAAAACGGCCCGACAGGCCTCCCAAAAGGCCTCCCAAGAGAGCCCCGAGAGGCATTTTTTTTTTTTTTTTTTTTGTTTTTCATTGGTTTTCCAACGTTTTTTTTGCTTCCTCGCTTTTTCGGCTTCCCGACGCTCCGACACCCCCGCGGAGGCATCCAAGACCGCTTCAAGACGGTCCACGAGGCCCCCAAGAGGACCCCCAGACGGTCCAAGAGAGCCCCAAGACGGTCCAAGGCGGCCCCAGGACGGCCCCAGAGGCGCCCAAGACAGGCCAACGGGACCCCAAGATGGTCCGAAGAGTGGCCCAAGATGGCTCCAAGACGGCCCGAGGACCGCCCAAGAAGGCCCTGGGGGGCCCCAAGACAGCCCAAGGGGCGCGATAAACGAGCCCAGAGAGGCCCAAGAGGCCCCCAGGAGCCCAAAAGAGGTCCCCAAACGGCCCCAGAGCTCCCCAAGACGGCCCGACAGGCCTCCCAAGAGGCCTCCCAAGAGAGCCCCGAGAGGCCAAAATCGTTGTCTTTCATAGTTTTCCTTAGGTTTTTGTGCTTCCTCGCTTTCTCGGCTTCCCGACGCGCCGAAACCCCTCCAGAGGCATCCAAGACCGCTCCAAGACTGTCCACGAGGTCCCCCAGAGGACCCCCAGACGGTCCAAGAGGGCCCCAAGACGGTCCAAGGCGGCCCAAGGACGGCCCCAGAGGCGCCCAAGACAGGCCAACGGTGGCCCGAAGAGCGGCCCAAGATGGCTCCAAGACGGCCCGAGGACCGCCCAAGAAGGCCCTCGAAGGCCCCACGATAGCCCAAGGGGCGCGATAGACGAGCCCAGAGAGGCCCACGAGGCCCCCAGGAGCCCAACAGAGGTCTCCAAGAGGTGCCACGGGGCTTCCAAACTGCTTCGAAGAGAGGGGGGCGGACCAGGGGACCGCCTCAGGAACGGCCCAATAGGCCTCCCAAGAGGCCTCCCGAGAGAGCCCCGAGAGGTCAACATCGTTGATTTTCATTGGTTCTTCCGAGGTTTTTCGCTTCCACGCTTTTCCGGCTTCCCGACGCTCCGAACCCCCCCAGAGGCATCCAAGACCGATCCAAAACGGTCCAAGAGGTTCCCAAGAGGACCCCCAGACGGTCCAAGGAAAAAGATCCTCTGGAAAACGAGCCACTTTCAGGTTGCTGCTGACGAGGTTCCCTGCCAGCTCCGCAAGGGAACGATCCAGCCTACGGACGCCACAGACCACGATGCACGCGCTAACATAATCACGAGCACCGCGTGATTTCTATGACATTGTCTCAGCGACAATATTATCGTATCATATTGGCTTGAATGGTTATGTTTTGATATGAAATGGTGATGTTTGGGTGATTTTCGTTACGCATGCGTACATTCGTGCACGTACAAATCACACACGCGCGTTTATTATCACACACGCGTCTTTATAATGGTCGTCTACGAGGCTCGGGGCCTGCCTTGGATGCACTCCGGCGGGCCGCCAAGCGAGTCTCTGGGGCGCTCAGCCTCAGAGCGGATAGCCCTCAGGCAAAACACGCCCCAGACCCCACACTAGGCCCTGTAGACCACTCCGACCTGCCCCAGACCCACGCAAGAACCTTCGCATCGTGGACCCCCCTCCAGTCCCGGAGCAGGAAGCCCTTAGACCATCACCCCAGTCACCCCAGCAGGGGTGACAAGGAGGACCTTCCGCTGGCCCCGCAAGCCCCACACCAAGCCCCAGACTCCACACCATGCCCTGGACGCTGTGGGGCCTCCACTCCGCCTGTTAGGGGTGACGCGGGGGACCTGTAGCCGCCTCGGTCGCTCCTCCTCTACCGCCGATTAGGGGTGACAGGGGGAGGGACCTGCAGACACTGCGGGGATCAGCATCTCGCTCCCCCCCTATACGGCCGATTGGGGGTGACGGTGGGGACCTTCCTCGTAGAGCCCTCGGTGGCCCCAAGACCGTCCCAGAGCGAACGCGCAGGCGTCGGCGACACATATGTGTTCGTGGATTTTCCACGGGTTCGGCCCAACAGGCCTCCCAAGAGGCGCTCCAAGAGAGCCCCGAGAGGCCAAAATCGTTGATTTTCATTTATTTTTTCATAGGTTTTTTGCTTCCTGACTTTTTTTCGGCTTCCCGACGCTCCGAACCCCCCCCGAGGCATCCAAGACCGCTCCAAGACGGTCCACGAGGGCCCCAAGACGGTCCAAGGCAGCCCCAGGATGGCCCCAGAGGCGCCCAAGACAGGCCAACGGGACCCCAAGATGGCCCGAAGAGCGGCCCAAGATGGCTCCCAGACGGCCCGAGGACCGCCCAAGAAGGCCCTAGGGGGCCCCAAGACAGCCCAAGGGGCGCGATAGACGAGCCCAGAGAGGCCCAAGAGGCCCCCAGGAGCCCAAAAGAGGTCACCAAGAGGTGCCACGTGGGCGGACGAGGGGGCCGCCTCAGGAGGTTTTGGACGGTTTTGGGCGTCAAAATCATCAGCTTTACGACGGTTTTGGAAGGATTTTGGCCTTCTCGCCTTTTCCGCTTGCCGACGCTCGAAGACGGCCCAAGAGGCCTCCAAGAGCGCCCAGAACGGCCCAAGAGGTTTCCAAGAGCGCCCCAAGACAGCCCAAGAGGGCCCCAAGACGACCCAAGAGACGCTCAAGACGGCCCACGAGGGCCCGAAGACAGGCCCAAGAGGGGGCCAAGAGGGGGACCACTGACCGAAAATCCGAGCATTCCGCTCCAAGAGGGCGCCAGGAGGCCCAAACAGGCCCCCAAGAGGCCCCAAGGGGCCGCCAAGAATCCCCCAAAGAGGCCCCAGGAGGCTCCCAAGGAGCCCAGACGAGGCCCCAACAGAGGCCCCAACAGCTTCCAAAATGGCCCCAAAGAGGCCTCGAGCCTGCCTCCGAGCTTCCTCGCCGCGAGGGTGCCAACACGGCCCCAGACGGGCCCAGGACGGCCCAAGGCGCGCTCAAGACGGCCCAAGACGATTCCAAGACGGTCCCAGGAGGGTGCGCCCAGGACGGCCCAAGGACGCGCCCGGTCGGGGCCTCAAGACGGGCCAAGATGGCAAGAGAGCCCCAGGTGGCAAAAATCGTTAATTTTCCATTGTTTACTGTTACACCCTTTGCGTTTCCCGCCGTTTCGGCGGTCCGATGCACCAAGAGGCCCCACAAAGTCCCAGGAGGGTCCGAGGAAACGCCCAGGAAGGCCCCAAGACGGGCCAAGACGGACCCAGCACAACCCACGGCGCGCTGCGACGGCTCAAGACGGCTCCAAGACAGCCCCAAGAGGGTGCCAACACGGCCCCTGCTGGCCCAGGACGGCCCAAGGAGGCGGCGCACAGGAAGGGCCCAAGACGACTCCAAGGCGGCCTCCTCACGGTCCCAGACGGCTCCAAGGCAGCCCCACCACGAGGACCCCGATGGGCCCAGGACGGCCTACGGACGCGCCCATGAGGGGCCCACGACGAACCAAGACGGCCCCATCAGGGCAAACGGCGCCCTCAAGACGGGCCTAGACGGCTCCAAGACGGCCCTTTGAGGGAGCCAACGCGGCCCCACACCCTTCGGGCGCACTTGGGGGGGCTGGGAGCTTGCGACAAGTCTCCCACATTCATTGTCCTGCCCCATTCTGTTCGCCTGGAGGCCTCCTCCAACCCTGTGGGCGAACATGAGGAATCCCAGCGGGACGCCAACCCTGGGGCCCGTGGGCCCCGCGCCGCTTGGGCAGGAGACGAACGCCGGGTCTGACAGGCCAGCTACCGCCCCCCTTTGCCCGATATGCTGTGCCATTCTGTTCCCCCAGGGGCTTTGGCGAACTCTTCGGGCCAAGCAGACTGGACCCCTGGAACAGCAGCCAATTGATATGACCCTGGGACCTCTCCGCATTCTTCGGACGAGCACCTGGGGGGCCCAGGAGATTCGGACAGTCTTCCCCATTCCTTGCCCTGTCCCGTTCTGTTCGCCCGAAGGCCTCCACAGACCCTCTGGGCGAACAGAATGGGACATGGCGAACAAACCCTCCCGTTGGCGGTGATGCGACTGGATCGCACCATCAAGGCGCGCCCGGAGGTGATGGCCGACCCAACAGCGGTTTCTCTAAAGATTTCACACAGAATTTCAAGTTTTCTTGAAGCTCTCTTGTGCCCTCCCTGTAGATCCTTGCGAGCCTCCCCGGCGCTTTCGGTGGTTTTCCCCGATGGCCTCCCGAGCCCTTCCCCGAGCGCTCCTGAGACGCCTCAGATGGGCTTCGACTTCGACGCACATCCCCGAGAGAC